AAATCGCGTTTTATTTATGAAATTCACGTTTTTTCAGTGAAATATAACGATGTTTTCGGAAATTTTGCATCATTATTGTTTCAAATGTGCATTTTCAAGTAGACACGTGCTTGAAATTACGATTTTCCATAAACTTTCGAGTTAAAAACAATGAATGCTGTAGAAACATGATTGAAATTACATTTTTCCTTTACCTCGAAGTTTCGCTCACTCGTTCCACTCGTTCGGCGAAACTTCGAGGCAATTTTTACTTCGTAAAAATTGTCTCTGGTTTTTCCCCCTAGTTTCAATAGGTTGTTTATTTTTGCATTCATCTCAATGTTTCAATGGGAAATGGATAATGGTAAAAAGGTATGGCCGAAAAAACTGAATAATAAATGAATAAAACACAATTTTCTGTAGAAATTGTGTTTTATTCATTTATTTTTCATTTTTCGTCTCACCCCTTTTTACCATTATCCAATTTCCATTGAAACGTCACGCTAAATTCAATAAGAATGCGTTTGTTAATTCCAATTCAACGCGTTAATTCCAATTCAACTCAATGACAATTCTACACCACATGACAGGAATTGGAATCCAAGCCAACGGATTCAATGAAAATGCTACACCACGTGTCCCATTGAAACGTCACGGTAAATCTAAACACCAATTCTACTCGCAAGCAAGCTGACGACACTTCAGTGCAAACATCATTTGAGCGCTCGCAGCGCCACGAACTCTCGTATCATTTTGTATTGACTTTTCGATAGTTCATGAGTTCGCCGTAGACTTCGTCAAAACGTGTCGTCCCTTTGCTCGCAAGAGGTTCACATTCTTTAAAAAATAAAGCAGGTATACACAGATCCGAATGATCATAAACAATACGATCTTACGGACAATAGATTTTGACCCTATTGTTCTTTTATACCATTGTCATTGACCCCGTGTCATAGCCAACGACTTTGACCCCGCGTCAATGACCTCTTATCATTTTTGGTCCAGAAGTCTCATTGACACACTACTGACGTCACACAATTCCACACATTCAACTAAATGTATATATACCATTCATGATTGAAAAAAAAATAAAAAATTTCCATTTCATCAAATTTGAATATTTAAACCATTCAATCCTTTTAAAATGTAAACAAAATGTAATTGGCTAAACGACAGAGGCCTTTGAATCAATTCAACTGATTGTATGCACTTGAATTAAGTGTGTGCGATCGATCGAAAATCATCTTCGCTAAATTAAATTCTATTTAGTCTAACTCCATGCAGCTGAGCCGGACTGGTATCGTTCATAAAATCGTTGTAAGTATCAAATCGATTGATTCTATTGGGCGAGTGCTTCAAACTCTGGATTAACTACTAATTTGTATTCGCACTTCGGTTTGTTCGAAATCATTTCATTGTCATCATGAATATGGAGCATGTGTTGGGCCAGTCTGAAATAAATAGTATTTTGTGACTTAAATAAATAACGACTTGAATCTTGCATAATGGCATACTTATATCGTTTGCTGTATCCCTTCCCACAAATCGAACACGAATGCAAATAGATGTTGGTGTGAATGGCCAAATGGGATTTCAGTTTGGACGAGCTAATGAAGCGTCTATCGCAAAACTGACAGGCATTTGGTCGTTCTCCTGAATGTGTACGCCGATGAATTGCCAAGTGTGAGCTGTGCTTATAGGATTTTTCACATTGAACACATTGATAAGGCCGTGGATTTTGATGCCATTTCAAGTGCAACCGATGGGATCGTTGATGTATGAAATTTTGACCGCAAATATGGCAGGTAAAATTGAATTCTTTTGGGGTATGAATGACGATGTGAGTTTCAAGCAATGATTTCGCCCGAAATCCCTTGTTGCAGTATGAACAATTAAACTTATGCTTATTGCTATGCAAGGTAACATGGGCTTGGTAACTGACCAGTGAGCCTAACTCTTTGCCACAAATATCACAAATATGTTCCATGTGACGCAGTTTCATATGATTCATTAGTGTTTTTGCACTTTTGCACTTTTTATTGCATTTATCACAAACATAATGGGCTTTCAGCAAATGTGTCACGTATTCCTCGTGAGAGTCGAATGTTTTCGCGCATTTCTGTTCGAATGGAAAAAAGGGCTATGAATGTGAATTCTCTATTTTAAAATCAATATCGTACTTACTGCACATTCCACAGTTGGCTGATTTCCATGTTCGAAATCTTCATTGAATCCATCAACATTAGCTAAATCTGATGTAAGATTTTTCTCATCATCTCCTTCTGAATGAAACAGTCGCATATGCTCTTCGAATGAATATTCTGAGAGTAAAATTAAATGGCACGTTTTACATGAGAATTCGTTTATTTGCAGATCTGCGGTAGTATGTTCATTTTGATGCATCAAACTATGTGGAGTTAAGCAGTCGAGGAAGTCCGTTGAAAAAGAGCAACTTTCACATTGAAACTTGTGCCCGTTTTGTCCATGGACAAAACCAATTGCCGTTTGTTCATCTAATCGAATGGCCGGCAATTCTTTGGTACTATCGAATTTATACTTTCGATGCAGCTTATGGGTGAGAATATTTTCAATGTTATCCAATTTATAGCGTAGCAAATCCAATTCATCAAATATCGCTTTGCACATCTGACAAATTCGATCCTCGTGCCCGATGGCAATTTCACAATCACTACCAATAAAATTGTCCAAAATTGAAGTGAATGGAATTTTTTGGTATTTAGTTGTTGCATTGCAAATGCTTAAATCGGCATCGTGTACACTGCCACACATAAAACATTCCATGTTTGGATTAAATGTGCATTTTCACTCGAAACCGCCTCATAACAAACATTTGTAAACAATTCTCTACAACCAAATGTGACGTTTCGTTGGAGTGTCAAAACTCAAAACGGAACACAGTTCAGTGGACAGCCAGTGTAGTCGGTTGATATATGTAAGCCAATACACAAACCATTCCCGTTTCTATTGTTGCTATTAGAACAAACTGTCGACGATTTTTTTTAAACAGTTCAACGATTGTTTGATTGAATTCCAAATCTATTGTTGAATAGAATCGAGTCGATTCAATCGACCGAATCGATTACGATGCAAAAGAAGTAGACGGAACGTTTTTTACGATTAGAAAAAAAGGGAAGTCGTTCAAATAATCCAATGAGAATTGTGTAGCTTATCAACTAATATTCAATTGCACAAGAAATGCGGAGATGTTTGATACAAAGCGAAATTATATTTGAAAAATATGCCAGCATGAAGACTGATTTTAAGTCTTCATCATGATTATATGATCAACATTACGAAAAACTCCTGAAGATATACTATTTTTCCTTAAGCGACACCAATCGAAAACTTTGCAGCAATTTGGATAAGATGTATACGTATTAGAACATGATAGATCAGCTTAGTAAATCTGGTGAATTTACCAAAAATGTCCAGACCAGATGAGATCGGTAGTGTGGATGAATGATGCAATGTCAAAGTCAATGGTAAAGAACCCAATTTGTTCGAACCATTTGGAGAAGATTCTCAATTGAAATACAGCATCTGTTCAGCTTCATTTCGATACCGATCAGTATTAGCACAGCAGTTTATTTTTATTTGTAAACATCAGTGTTACTACTCTCTTTTTGTTTTCGAATAATTTATTTTACATAAATTTCATTAATAAAACAATTCGGCACGCGACTATGACGATTTCAATTGTGTAAAAACTAATCAGTACAGCATGCTTTTTCCTCTCTCTCATCGTGATCCTTTTAAATTGTATCCTTTCAAATACTATACTGAAAAGCTTTCATTTTTTAGTGAAAATAACTATTCTGTCTTTAATTATGAAATTTACCGAAGAAAAAACGTTTGTTGTGTTTCAGAGAAAAATGTTACTTGAGTTTTGTTCGTTATTTCTTAGTTTCAGTTTATTCGATTGACATTGAAATTGGAGATCGAAACAACATTGAAATGCTGATTGAAACAACAAGGAATTTGATAAATTCAAGTGCAAAAATTAATCACAGCCACTCGTATTTAGTGCGTTAAAACGTTGGGAAATGGCATATTTTACCTGTTTAAACGCAATCTAAATGCGACCGCAATCGTTTGATTTGCGGTGTGAAGATCAAGATCAGTTTCATTTGAAATTTATTCAATGTATATTCATGCCGCTCTTATGTGGCAATTCGTTGCAATTCCAGCGGAATACTATTTAATTGAGTATGCTAAATTCAAAGTGTTTTTAGATTACACAGCTCATTGCGCAATAGATCTAATTGTAATTAGATTCAATTTAAAGAGCGTTCACATTATTACGATTGAATATTCATGCCTGTTGATAACACACCGATAACGAACATGCAAAACGGTGATGATTATGCAAAATTCATTTTTGCCTTATCATTTTGGCAAATATGCTGAATTCATGGTGTTTTGAATACCGTTTTTTTTCATTGTTTGCACAAAATTCATCAGAGCTAGCAACATCAAGACATTAAGCTCATATGAATAAATAACACAACTGATAAACTGGTGATTTTTTTATCGAATAAATTTTTTCTTCATTCATGACTGAAAAAAAAATTGAAAATTTTCCATAAGAGAGGTGTATTTCATTAAATTTGAATATTTAAACCATTCAATCCTCTTAAAAATGTAAACAAAGTGTAATTGGCTAAATGACAGAGGCCTCGTTTGGCAATAACAATAACGTACGCCAAATGGATCAAACAATGTACGGAAAAAATATTATTTGTTGTGTAATCAGAGATGCGGTATATGTCTGTATTTTCATTGGCAAACAAATAAACGGTGTAAAAACACGATCTACAGAGATAAAATGTGATAGCGCACAATTTACACTTGCAATATTTACGATCAACTCGAAAGCATGTGAAGTGCAGAGTAATTGTATGAATTGAATAACGTTGAGATTTCGCATGAAGTGTGTGCTAGATAGGATCAATATGATAGTGTAACACAGAATCACCCTATAAATACGTTTACGATTTTTATCAATTGAGCTAATCAGATCGCGTGGATTCGAGTGAAAACATCATAGAAAATGAGCGCCAAAGAGTTACCGAAATATATTCAAGTTTTGTTAGACCGCATCGTTAAGGAGAATGATTTTCAAGATTATTCGTTGGATATAAAGCAGGGATCCCAAGTGGGTGATGGTTTTTTGAGTGAATTATCAAGCATAGGCATTTCGGAAAATGGCAGTGATAAAAAATTGGATATCGTGTGTAAAATAGCGCCATTCAATGAGAATCGACGGAAAGAGTTCTTTTCGAATGTGGTTTTTGATCGTGAATCGTATTTTTATAACAAATTAATGCCAACGTTTGCAAAATTTCAAGATGAAAAAAATGTACCAAAAGATGCTCAGTTCCGAGCGTATCCCAAATGTTACGCGGCCATATCGAATGATGAAAGTGAACATTACGTTATCATAATGGAAGATCTGCGTCCGCAAGGATTTAAAATGTGGAACAAAGCTAAGGCAGTACCGATTGAAAATATGCGCCTGGTGATGCGTTCTTTGGGCAAATTTCATGCACTTTCGCTTGCTTTGAAAGACCAACGACCGGACGAATTTGCCAAATTTAAGAAACTAACCGATGTGTCGCAAACATTTTTCCAATCACAAAATATGCAGGGAATGTTTGACGCGTCCTTTGATCGTGCCATCGCCGCATTAAAAAATGAGGACCATAAGGAAATCATTCGCACACTGAAAAACAACACATTGTCACACTTCAAATCGTGTCTCAGCGACGAAATCTCCAACCGTTTTGGTGTCGTATCGCACGGTAATAAACTTTTCGTTTTCCCTTTAAAATGTATTGCCAGTTCAATTTAACCGAAACATCTGAATTTTGTTTGTTTTTTTTTAAGGTGATTTTTGGAACAATAACATACTCTATCGCTTCAATGAAGATGTAAGTTTGATACAATTAAGGATCTTATCAAAATGAACCTACATTTTTTTGGCAAAAAAAAAAATGAATTATTCATAAATCTTTCAAGAATATCGCTGAGGATGTTCGATTTTTGGACTGGCAGGTGATCCGATACATCTCTCCGGCAATAGATCTTCTTTACAACATATTCACATCTACCGACAAGGCACTCAGAGAAAAAGAATACGATAATTTGTTGAAAGTTTACCACGATTCACTATCGAACACCGTCAAATTGCTAGGAAGTAACCCGGACGAATTGTTTACACTGAATGATTTAAAAGACGAACTGAAGATTTGTGGCAATTATGCATTCCTTTTAGCACCTATGCTGTTGTCAGTGTCACTGGCCGATTCCAGTGAAATATCGAACTTAGATGAAATGTGTGATAAAATCGCCGAAGGTGAAACAAGACATGAACTCATCACCGGTTTGAATGAAAAGGCTCAATTAGAATATGATCAACGGTTAAATGACGTTTTTGACGATCTTGTTAAACTCGGCTATTACACCAAGATTAACTGAAGCAAAAAAGAGATATCTTTTCATTGAATATTATTCATTTGAACAAATAAAGTTAATCAGTTTCAATTTACCAAAGTGTTTCCATTCAACGGAGTATGTTTCGAAAATGTTGACAATTTCATGTTTACATGTTTACATCAGAATGGTGAATGTTTTCTCCTATTTGCGCGTAAATAAATTCTGTCATTTTCAACAAAAAAAAAACATTATGCATGCTCGAACAAAACCCAGTGAAAGTGTTGCGCTATAGAAGGAAATGTGTAATTATTTCAATTTTTTTTTCGCTTCTAATTCTCTCTTCACATTTTGTGATTAATTGAAGAGCATGTAATGTGGTAGTTTACTTGCTGCCAAAAGTCAAAACATAATTGAAGCGTTATTAATTAATTTGATCTCATAGTTTCGTCAATTTCGCTCGGTAATGAATGGGCACTGCACCATAAGCACCGTATTCTTTTGTGAACGCGATGTGTATGTGTGTGTGTGTGTGTTTTGTTTTGGCTCAGTGAGCAATTACAATGTGTGCGACAGTGAAAGGGGCGCGCAAGTAATACGCGAAACGTGTGTATGCATATATGCGTGTTACACACAGTGGTATCTGGCGTCTGTACAGCGTTTCTATACGCTGCTTTTTTGCCCTTTACGTTTAAATTACATTAGAACCACAATAATGCGTTTCACATGCGTGCGACTCCCATTCAATTGAATCCGCGGACACGCGCGCGCGCACTCTCTTATATTTTTACCTCATCGCTGCTTTTTTTGTGTGTTTCTTTGTCCGATTTGAATCAAGCGATTGTGGGAAAAATGTGTACGTTAGTCAAAATACAGTGGGAGAAAATCATCTCTTTTATTTTCGGCTTTGTATCATCGTCCGACTTTTTGTCACAAAGAATTGATATTACGAATCGTTTGTAATGCGAATCAATTTTCGAGTGGATGACATTGTTTGAGTGCATTGCTTTGATATGATTATCGAAGTGCACACGTTGCACAAAAGCCAACAGTACAAAATCTAAGCTCATTTCCACACACTGTACATAGCTATAGACCATTTTGCTGCTTCTTGTTGACGTTTTTTGCACCGCTTTTTTTCGGTTATCATAGAGCGCGTGAGAAATTGTATTTTTTCGATAGGGAAATTGAAGTTTTTGAAGTGTATCAATTCAAACATCAATGCGCATTACTCGATGCACGTGCTTTCATTGACAATATAAAGAAAATCATGTGAATCGATCGTAAACTTTGATTCGAGAGCCGAAATCCGTGCTCCAAATGATAGGTCTTCAGTGGCAATTTCTCTCACATGTTCTCGAATTGGAGCTTGGAATCTGATTTTTAAGTTTTGTGCCACCAATTTTGATAATTTTCGCTAACCAGAGAATTGATGGAGGTCAATCGTTCCAACAATGAATTCGCAATGACAATGACAATGCAAGCTATTTTTCACAAGCCGTGAAAAATGTACGCAAAGACAATCTCTCCGAATGAAGAAAAAACGGCACACATACACATCACATCGACGAGCCAAAGGCAGACAATGAAACTGTGGCAAACGAAATCATAAACAGAGAAATCGATGAAATATGAAATAACAAACAATTTTTTTTTCTCGACTCAAGTTCGAAAGGCCGTGGTATATTAATGTTTTATGATTAAATATTGGGGATCGAAGCCGGTTTCATAATACGTGAGTATGTTGCGCGAATGAGATAAACGATGTGTAGGAAATGTTTTGTTTATATGTTTCACTAAACAAAAAAATACTGATTCATTTGCACTTCTTTGGATTGGATGTCTTGCTCCTGCTTACACAACAGAGTTGAGAGAAAAAAAAACGAAGACGAACTAAAGAAATGACAGGTGTGTATGTTTATAATAAATTGCGGTCTATGCATAGAAACCGTTTTTTTCTTTTCTAAACGATCACCGTCAACAATTATTTAATAATAAACAAGAATCGACAGCCGAAATGAACTGAATACGCTGGCGGAGCCGATGGAATCGATGGAATTGGTGTAACACACAGACGCAGAGAGCGAGATCAAGAGGCAACCAAAAATGGATGAGACTCATCAATTTGATAAATATACGCACACACGGCATGGGGAAAATTGGGTAAAACTGACGAATAATAATAATGAATAATAATATGTGTCCAAAAAATTGGAAGAAAAGAATGAGACCAAGACAAAAAGCAGCAACAACGGATTGCAACAAACGATATGGAACCGATGGACCAATCTCAATCGTTGAACATGATGGATAGAGTGTGTGTGTGTGTGAGTGTGTAATACTTGATCGTGCTCGCGCGCCAAATGATATAAATGATGGAAGTGAACGGGAAAAACGGCCAAACAACAACAGAAAAAATTGTGTTGATGGTTTTTGTTGTTGTTGTTTTGTTTTGTGGGGTCTCTCTCGTTCACGTTATACTTTGTGTGTGTCGACTCTCGTACACATAATCGATCTCAAAAGACAATTTTGATTTATTGACGGTAAATATTTTACGTTGATATTTTTATAGTAGAAATTCCACGGCAAAACTCTTTTTTCAATATCTTTACCATTTCTATACGGGAAGAGAGAGAGAGAGAGAGAGAGAGAGAGGCAAGCAGGCACCGATTTTGATCGAATTGGCTTTAAAGCGCGCGCACTTGTGCGCTCGCTCATCGAATTTCGTGAATAAATACGATTCAATTCATTTCATGTTACAGACAATTTTTATTTCTCCATATTTTTTTCGATGTGAATGAAAGAAATATTATCAGTTTTATTTTTGTGTGATGAAAAGATTGGTACACAATGAATACTTGCGCGATCATCTGAAGAAAGAAAAGACAGAAGAAAAAAAATATTCGTCATTGTGGAATTAAAATGGAACGTATGTACTTTCGTCCTTAGCCGCGAATAAACACCACACAAACAAGTTACATGTTTGCATGATTCATCGCTTTCTGTGTCTTTTGTATGTCACTCTCGATCTTTTTATCGTCTCTCTCTCTCTCTCTCTCACACACACACTTAATCGGCTGTGTTCAGCGTTAGATGTAAAATATATTAAATTCACTGAATGGCAATAATAGCTAATAAACCATTATTAGCCATAATTATCGTAGCTTAGCGATGAATTGTTACATTGGAATATGTGATACGTTTTTAGTATGTGGCGGTTATGTGTTATCGATATGATTCGTTTTTTATTTCAATGCGACATTGGTTTGGTTTTGTGTGCTGTATTTTTTTCTTCTTCTTCTTTTAGTTGGGTTTGTTTTTGTTTTCCGCATTCGTCGGTTACATGTGCTCAGATGTGTCGATCGGATGACACCATAAATTCATGAGCCCAAACGAAAACCAACGAAGTAAAAATATTTGTTGCGTTTTGAATGGTTTATGAGCGGGCATAAATTAATGCCCAATTTTGTTATCACTCTGCTATCGGGAAAGTGAGTGAACACAAGCGAAAACCCAAAATGCACATTGTCACACCGAAAGAGAGGATAAACTCCACCGAGAGAAAAGTGTGCATACTAGCGAAATCGTTTTTTTTCCCCCAAACAACCGAATGCCAGATATTATTCGATTAACATGGAAATAAACTGGCGATCAAACGACAAATTTGCCGACAACATCGACGATAAATGACAGCAGATAGAAACGCACCGATCACACGGTCTTATGAATAAATTAATTAATATTCTGAAATTTTTGTAGCAGTTCTTTTGTCATTGGTGCCGGTCCATATGTGTGTATCTATTATGAATATGTTTTTCTCGTCGACTGCGCGGTGTTACATCAAACAGCACCAGTCCACACAAATGCGATCGATCGAGCGCGCGCATCGTGCCAATGCTCGCTTCCAATACACACACACACACACCGAAATGAAAAAAAAACGAACAAATTGTCCGAAATAAAATCAATGAATCGATCGACAGCGAGGGAGAGAAAAATATTAGCCGAAAGAATGTTTGTGGATCAGTAAGTAAAACACGTTTAATAGATGCACACCGAAAGCGATTGGGAGAGGAGAGGAAAAAAACACATCTTTCGACTTTTTCTCTCTCTTTTTTTGTTATTATCGACACTTTTTCATTCAGTTCGATTTGTAGATGCTTAAATGGTATGTCACTGCTTTTTTTCGGTCCCATTTTTTCTCTCTCTCTCTCCAGATTAAATGATTCTTTTTGGGGTTTTAAATGGATACAAAAGAATAAGGCGAAGAAAGAATGAGAGAGAAAAAAAATCGAAACGAAGAACTGAACACTTGAACGTATCATAAATTTAATCATGGAATCATAAAGCTTAAAAATGTGATTCTATTTTTGGTAAAATGTGAGGCGGTTTTTCTATGCGTTTTTATTGTTTCCGATTTGAATAAGGTGTCTACACGCATATATATTTTTTTCTTTCTATTTTTCCCTTTTCATTCACCGGTGTGTTCGGTTTGTGTATCATTTCTCTTTCGATTTGTATCGTTGACGAAAAACTAAAAAGTCCATTGATTCCTTTCGACGGACGCACGATGCGCTTGATCACCAACGATCACTAAACGCGCACTTGGTGCAGTTGAAAATGTTGTGAATGGAGTTGAAAGTGGTTCACAGCAGCCTCCTCTCATTCATGTGTCGATCGATGCGTCTGGGTGACACAATCGATGTGCAGCCAGTCAACATTGTTATTAACAAATAAAAATTGGTGCTCTTGAGATTTTAAAAATGGTTTTTATGTTCACAGATACTTTCGATTATCGTTTTTATTTCACTCGGTTTTCATAAAATGAACTAAAATCCGAAGTAGTGATTCTCGTGGCTTTTCTTCTTCTTCTTCTTCTTCTTCTTCTTCTTCTTCTTCTTCTTCTTCTTCTTCTTCTTCTTCTTCTCCTTCACAAATTATGCATGAGATAACAACGAAAATGATAAAAGATTTAATTTGGTTCGGTTGTCAAATGCTGTTGAGCAAATGGAAGAAGAGGAAATTCTGCAGCATATCAAGAGTAAGCAACTTGGCGCTGTATCTCAAATAACTTTCAGATTGTCAAAATAAAGCGACAAAGTGATAATTTCAATT